AGGCTTTTAATTTAATTAAATAGTGTCTATATAGTTGGTTAAATTTATACTGGTTTTATTTCAAAGTTTATATTGTGTCAAAATAATGAAAAAATAATAATAATAAAAGATTACCTTGATTATTAAAAGTGTATAATTTATTCTAACGTAAATTATGATAGGCAAGTAGTCAAATACCAAAACATACACAAGGATTGCTAAGTTTATATCTGTTTGATAATTATCGGATAATTATCGGATAATTATCTGATAATTATCGCAATAATTATCAAAAGATATATTTATCTTGATAATTTCAAACCCTGGTATATTGTAATTAAATTTTTATAATTCTTTGTTTATGAATATGTAGGTAGGTATATAAATTAAGTAAGGGTAGGTCCAAATTGGTTTTAAAAAGTTTTTTTCTCTAAGTGTAAATCTATAACTTTTAATAATCCATAAAAAGTTTTTTAACTAAAAAACTAAAAAATTACAAATGGAATGATGATTATGAAACGAAGAAAAATTACTTAAAGATCGGGTTTAACGCCAAATCGATATAGGAGTACGTACGATTCTATATAATGTAAGTTAACTGTATAAATTTATTTAGAGAAGTATCAAGTAGGTACTCTAAGTCTAAACATATTCATGAAACGCGGCGATTGCGTGTTTGCTTATAATTTAAGAAATATAGGTTAACAAAAATCGACAAGGTTCAATACTTCTTTAAAAAAAATAATTTAATAAATAAATATATTGTTCGTGCACATTACAAAAAACACAAAATAAAAAAAGCCTACAATATTTTAATTAATGGCAACATTCGCAAAACATTTGGCAAAACGACCGAGTTTCACTTGCTATTAGGAAAGCGGTAAAAAAAGTGAAAGTGTGCAAGTGAGATGCAAACAATCTCGCGACATCTGCCAAACAAGGACAGCCTGACCTCGCACGATGACGTCACAAATATTATACTTAAACAAATATTGAATATTTTATTAAAATTCTAAATAGTTTATATACAACTAATTAATATAACCCACAACACAATAATATAAAGTATATATTTGCAAAAAAATTGTTTAAAAAAAATAAATAGACATTTTTTTGGTTCACATGGATTGTGTGATGAATAACCTGTTCTTTGTGAAAGGTGTCCTGGGCTCTGGCTAAACAAGTTGCTTGCACGAGAATTTTCTCTGAACGGCCTAGGAATGGTAAAGGAATAAATTAAAAGGAATGATATTGTTGTTTGACCCACAAACATTTATGTATGAGACAAATGCAACCTTAATAAAAATTGAATAATATGAGTATACTTGATTTACAATATAAGACTAAATTTAAATGTTTATATACTTTATGAAATACGATTAAGCCAATTTAGGCAAATTTACAATATTTTAAGATTCATTAGATTAAAAAAAACTAATTTTTTAAGACATAATATGTATATAGAATTATTATACTTTTGTCTACAAAGAAAATAATGTTTTGTCAGTTTGCCTGGTTGTATTATATTTAGTATACAATAGTCTAACATATCCATATATTATATAAAAGGCAAAAGTGATTGACTTATTGCATCAACATACAGGCCAAACCCTTAAAAGTTAGAAAATAGAAATTTCACACACATATTCCTCATATGACGAAGGCATCGACTAAGGAAGGATTTTTCAAAATTCAAACCCCAAGGGGGTGAAATAGGGGATAAAAGTTTGTATGAAACTTTTTATTCCTTGGACATATTTGTATGATATTTCGTCTGAACTAAGTACGGCAAAAATAATGAGTTACGTATTTCACCGTTTTCCACCCCTAAGAGGGTAAAATAGCGGATGAAAATTTGTATGAAACCTACCTTTTTAGAGATTTTATTTGTAGTTTTAGCGCGAGCAAAGCCGAGGGTTCTGCTAGTTTTATATAAGAGAAAAGAAATAAATGTCTTCTCATAATTATATTGTTGTTACAGATACAAATTATAATTTATTTTAACTTTGACCCTATTACAATTATTAAAATTTTGAATGTAAAAATCAACAAATTATTCATTCCTGACGCAACAGATGTTTTAGTATAGACAGAGCTTATAGGTTCAAAAGTTATTTATCTTACTGTATCTGTGAGATATTAGTTTATTCTAGAATACGGATCAATAGTATATTGAGTGGAAACTGAATGAAGCGGGTTCAAGTCCCGGGTCTAGCACCTCTGAAATTTTCATGTGCGAATCAATTCCAACATGATTAACACTTGTCTTACGGTGAAGGAAAACATCGTGAGGAAAGACCTCTGAAGTCCGCCAACTCGCACTTGGCCAGAGTAGTGGACTATGGCCTGATCCCCTCGTATTGAAAGGAGACCCGTGCTCAGCAGTGGGACGTTAAAAAGGGCTGTATACAATACAAGTAAGTATATAGTTCTGTTTAAGCCTTTTGGTTATGGAACCCCAAAAATGGTCATAAATGCAGGTACAAACATACATTCATTAATTTGTATAGATTATACAATATAAGTACTTAAATTGCTTTAAGTTATGTTAATTTTATAACATGAATGACATGTTTGTTTATATTATGACTAAAAAAAATCTCAAACAATTGTATTCAATGAGCAAATGTTTAAAAGAATGCAAATGGCTTAGACTACTTATTACATAGAAAAAAAAATAACAAAAATAATCCATGTAGTAGTTGTAGTGTGTAGGTATAGTTTTACATAATTTGAAGAAAAAACTATAAGAGAATACTAAGAGTTATTCAAAATTATTATTTATTAATAAGTAATGCAATTGTGTTAATTTTTAATATTACAATGATTAATGATATTTTAAATGTAATAGTTGCTGGAAATGAGTACAACCTAAAATAACCTTTTTCATTGAATACAGGATAAACATGCATACAGTACGGTAAAATGTAATAATAAAAAAATTACAAAATTTACATTACATATACCTATGACTAGTACAGTAATTTCAATGTGTTTGACATCATCAATATGATTTACATTGCATCCTTTTTTATTTTTCCTTAAATCATTGCTCATAAAGTCACAGACTTTTACTTTGTAAAAGATTATTACTTTATGTTAACATTATTGGTACTTAAAAAGCCAGGTCAGAATAATGAGATGAGTAATTACTTCACAACTGATTAAAACTAATTTTAGTTCAACAAGGTGAAAATTAAATAATTTTAATCTGACTTGTCATAAAAGATACAATTATACTTGTTAACTAGAGACTCACCCTCACTTGTTATGTTTCAACGGTTAGTATAGATTTCAGATTTCTCAGAAATATTTTCCAGCAGGAAAAAGTGTCTTCTATATCACCAAATTTCATCAAAATCCGTCCAGTAGTGTTCTCAAAATCCGTCCAGTGGTTCTCATGATGTGTTTCTAGACAGACAGACAAAAATTCTAAAAACTATAGATTCCACCTATGTCTTGATAATAATTATTGATTACTATTTCTATAAGATTTTCCAAAAAATATTTTTTGTATATACAGATTCAACTCGGTTAGAATTTTATATGTATAGACTAATACATATATTATCTTGTAAATGACTCATACAAAGGAAACCAGTTGTTATTAGGCAGCAAGAACATTCATTATTATTTAAAGCACTGTACATATAAACAATCATTAATGTATATTTATAACCTTCTTAGTATTTTCAATTAAATTATTTGTTATGGTTTTTAATTATATACCATTTGAGTGCAGATTACATTGTCATTTTAAAGGCATAATGCAAATATTAGTATTATTAAAACTAATATCTCTACATATTATAAAATAAAGTCTCCCACCACATCTGTCTGCCTGAACGCGATAAACTCAGAAACTACAGAATGGATTTTCATACAATTTTCAATTTGCTACAACAAAAACAAATCTATCCCTCGGGAACCATATATTTTTCTGGGATAAAAAGTAACCTATGTGTTATTCCAGACTATAATCTATCTCTGTGCCAAATTTCATCCAGATCCGTTTAGTTGTTTTGGCCTGAAAGAGTAACATACATCCATACATACTCACAAACTTTCACATTTATATTTATACAGATTTATTACAGATATGTTTTAATTTAATTTCCAAAGCTTTTATATTTATTGCCTATAACTAGTATAGTTTTATTTTACTTCAGCAAACTTTACTCATATCACCATTATGTTATCCATTGTTTTCTTTAAGTTTTAACAACTAGGTACAAAGGTAGGTGAGTTGTTGATTAGAAATATAATACCTTTATCTTCGGTAAGACTTTTTTATCAGAAAAATCTACATAACGTATTTTTTTATAGAAAATACAATATGAAAGATTAAATTGAAAAGATTAGCTTTTGTAAAATGCATACTGGCTTCTGTTGTATACAAAGATTTTGATAATTATCAAAGGTCCAAAATATCCTAATAGTATACATTATGTACTACTTAAATATTATCTACTTGCAATAATAGTATTACATATACTAAAAATATTATTAATATTGATCAGAGTTTATCACTACACTATAAAACTTAAAAATTGTAGTACAACTCAACATAACAAAGGCTTTACATATTAAGACTGAGAAATAATGAACTTTTATATTTTTATGTTACTTTGTGTGTGTTGTACACTAAAATGATTAAATTATTTTCATGGAAAATAATTCTAAGGACAAAAAATTGTTAATGTGTGATGAATCCTTATTTATGTATATCATGACGTAAGACGCTTTGAAACAATAATAACTAAGCTGTACGAAATAAAATGGTGATAAATACATATTGCTTTGTAGTTTTAACGGAACAAAATAGTAGGTAGAAGGAAAACAGAAATTTGTGTACAACATATAACAAAGACTTTCAACCGTAAAAACATCAACGTAATCACGTCATACGGTTATTTTAACTAGAATTACGTAAAATTCTCCAATAATTTGATATAGTATGACTATAATACGAATTTAATCAGAGAATATAACAACTTGAACAATTGTTTTGACATACGTACCTTTGGTTTGTAGAACCATTTTCTGAGAGACTCCATTGGACCACTTTTGTATAACAGCCTCATATGAACAAATCACAACACGGTCACACACATTATAAAACAAATGTAGCACCGAAAATCACCACGCAGACGTAAACTAAAACAGTATTTTGCAAATATTTACGTCAAAAAACACAAAAGGCGGACATGTTTCACAAATCGCGTTCACGTTTGAGAGTAATGAATGGAATGACCGAGCAACAATTCACACCACGCACGTCACGCAACTTTTCCATTCATATGTGCAGCGAATGGTGAACCGTCCGTTCGGATACTCGTACAAAATGAAAGAATGAACTGTAACAGGCAACAAGTGTATAAAATATAGAAAAATTTAAATATTTTACATTATATACACATTTTTATTTAATGGTAACTTTTTATAATTCCAAAAATATAATAAATTTGTATACACATAGAAAATTTTATTTTTAACTTTTACTTTAGAGCAACAATAAAACGTTGACGGTAGTCTACACTGGATGAAATAGTAAATACCCACGCGGCACATCAGTTTTGGCGGTCAGATTCATTCACACCCAGACAGGTTACAGGATTTACAGTTACACTTGTTGTTCCTGGTTTGTGAGATACATTAAGGAAACTAACGAACGATGGTACTTTGACCCATGAATGTTTTTTCTGCTTATGTATGTATTCAGCTCTTTGTAACAACCCACTGCTGGGCACGGGCCTCCCTTCAATACAAGGGGGATCAGGCCATAGTCCATCACGCTGGCCAAGTGCGGGTTGGCGGACTTCACATGCCTTTCGAAAACTTGCTAGGTTCTCTCAGACATGCAGGTTTCCTCACGATGTTTTCCTTCACCGTAATACAAGTGGTAATCATATTAGAAATGATTCGCACATGAAAATATCAGAGGTGCGAGACCCGGGATTTGAACCCGCTTCAATCGGTTTCCCAAGCGAGCGCATTACCACTGGGCTACCACTGCCTATACTCTACTACTATACATACATATACTATATGTGTCTGTTTATAATATACTATAATTATAATCTTTATAATATGTAATCAATAATAATGAATATTAATAATGTAATCAAAGTACAGACTTAAAGTAAATAGGTCTTAACATTGATGAAATATGTAAACTATAATATTAGTATTTGACAAATCAACCCTTTAAAAACACTAAAATATAATATTACATAGTAAAGTAAGTAATACTTTCAAAATGAATAATAATAATGTTGTTTGTTTACTGTACATCACATAAATACAAAATTATACCTTCAGATTTAATACATACTAGACAGATAACGTATATTATATGATATAACTATATATAAACAACCTCGCTTCGCTCGGGTGCGTCCCTAGTGACGTTTTAATTTATTTGAACGGATCCCTAATTCTTTCTTTTTCTAAAATAAAAGAAACCCAAGTTACTCCTTATAGCATCAGCTATCTGCTTGTTCTGGCTAATCTCCGAAACGGCTGGACTGCTTTTGACCTTTCACTGTCTGATAGCAGAGTGGGCCTTTGGAGCAACTTCATGGCTGTATGGTCTATTTCAGCAGACCTATCGTTATGGCGTAGTGGCTGAATGCATAAGTGATCCTGCGAGGCCCTTTTAAGACTTTTGAAGTTTTCTTGGGTTTTAGTGGATAGTACTGATTATTTTAGCCGGTGAGTACGACATAACCACCTGTTTTTATACAGGTGGTATGCGTAAATGCATTTTCCAACATTAAAAAAAAGTGTTGAGCGGGAGCAAGACAAAAGAACTTTTCCTCCAGTTAGTATTAGTAATAAATATATAAAAATATTTTTTTTCATTTATCACAATTTATCTATACATATAATAAAATTCTAACTGAGCCAAATCTGTACATGAAATGTTTTTTGGAAAATCTTATTGAAATATACATTATTATCGATACAGAGGCCGAATCTATAGTTTTCAGAATTTTTGTCTGTCTATCTATCTGTTACCGCATCACGGAAAAACCACTGGACGGATTTTGATGAGATTTGGTATGATGATAGCTGGTTATCCGGGTCAACATATAAGATACTTTTGATTGCGGGAAAATACCTCATTTCTGAGAAATCAATACTAAAACGTAAGTAGGGACGAACCTATTTTATTTGTATTAAATTTACATGCCGTACGCTATCTATTACTTTCTGAAATTTTATGAAGGTTAAGTTACTATCAATAATAAAGTGAAAGGCGCTGCGATCAAAAGAAATTTAACACAAATGATACTGATATTATGGCAAATATTGTCAGTTTGTATTATGTTTCATAGGAAAAACAAGAAAATAACGAGAGCCTTACCTAAAGGTTTTTTGTTACAACTTCTTACGAATAATAAATGTGTCAAATAATGATTGTTACAAAAGGTACATAGATTTATAAGTTTTTAAATATTTTTTATCTTCCTCAAAACATATTTTATGACTTTTAAATTAAAAATAATATGAAATATTATACGTGCCTTATAGATTTATTCGATAGACAACCAGTAACATTTATGTTTAATTGAAGCGAAATAAGAAAATTCTTTAGAATCGTTGTGATTTGAAACTCGATAAAACTGAAATGCGACACTAAAGAGAGACAAATATATAATATTATATTCTGTCCGTATATGATATTCTATAAATATATGATTGTAATATGACTAATATGCCTTATTTAATTAGTTGTGATAGAATACATTAAACAGGAAGTGAAAAATAATAAAATTATTTACTGAATTAGCGACTCACTCTCGCTTCGCTCGGGTTCGTCCCCATGGTATGGTATGGTATGTCCGGGCCATTTTCTGCAACTCGACGACTATGCACCTATTTTGCGTGAGGGGGTTCGTCCCTAGGTACGTTTTAATTTTTTGTGCGGAACCCTTATTATTATTTTTTTAAATAGCCTATATTACTCCCTATAACATCAGCTATCTTCCAGTGAAAGTCCCGTCAATATCAGTTTAGCCGTTTCAGAGATTTTCCGGAACAAACAAACAAACAGACAGATAGCCAAAAATTTTAAAAATTGTGTTTTTTTTTATAAGTACCATAATATATAATTTCATATGCATTAAGTAAAACGCTATTATTTTAACGTTACAAACCGACGCTTCAATTTTATTTATCTGAAGGTAGATAATATGTTATGAATATTTAGGTCAAATAAAAAGTAAAATAACTTTTAAACTTGGTAAAAATATTATAAAAAAATAAACCTTATAATAATTATCCTACTCCTGATACTCTATATATACTGTTATATTAAGTATTCATCTTTCGTAGGTCACTTTTCTGAAGTTTCACTACCAAGTAAAGTACAAGTACTTCTACCGTGTGTGAATTAATTAAGAAATATTAAATTTTTAATAATGTATAATACATTAGTGAATAAAATCTTCGGCAAAGTTGATAAAATACATAATAGTTTGTATTAGTTAATAGTGATATTAAAATTTTAATACAAAATTATATTCATATCAACATGTTGTCAATGTCAATTAATATTATAGTACCAAATTACTTTCGAGTTTCGAAGAAACATTAAAAAGTTTTTAAAAACCGACCCTTTGTGTCGAACTTGAAAATTAAAACAAAAATAACAACGTTGCTCCAGTGAATTAATTCGGTAAGAGTATTCAGGCGTAAACGGTATAATTAAAAGTAATTTTAGATGAGGTTTTTTTTTGTATTTTAACACGTTTGTTTTGAATACTCATTGTTTAAACATTTTATTTCATTACCAATTATTATTGTGGGTACCTCGAACATAAATTAATAATTGTAAAAAAATGTTCTTTTAATTTTCGTACCTATCTTTAACCTTTTCTTGTCTAACACTTTTCTTTATATCTGTGTATACGAGTAATAGACCTGTTAAAATTTAAAGGAGAGGCAAAATTGAGTAAGTATGTGAAGTATAAGTATGAGTAATCCCATTTAAATTTTATATCGAAATCCGTCGAGCGGTTTTTTTTAAAAAATCAACTTTTTTTTTAATAAATTGCTTAATCGAATAATTATGTTATTAAAAAAAACTTTCTTTTTACAAGTTACCTGCTTATTACGTCTACCCTAAAAATGGAAAAATAAAAACTTAAAAAAAACCCGACTTCCAGGCACTAAAATGTAAAAAATTACTAAACGGGGGTTTTCATTTAGAATAGAGATTAGAGACCTAATCAGATATTTTCGAAGTCGGTGCCAGCGGATACAAAGCAAATCTAACATATTTCGATACCTAAAATAGGTACATGACAAATTGATGTATAATATTTTAACTATAAGTACATAGAGTTCATACCAAATCATATTTACCTATTAGATAATATTCATATCTTAAAATACTGTCGGCTGTCGGTTCGAAAATATCTGATTATGTATCTATTCTAAATGAAAACCCCCGTTTAGTTATTTTTTCCATTTCAGTGCCTGGAAGTCGTTTTTTTTTAGTTTTTGTTTATAATATAGATAATATCAAAGAAAATATTTGTGTGTCTTATTCAAATTTACTCTATCCTCAATGTAAAAGTAATATTTTTGATACTGAACTGAACTATCTACGTAATATATTTGAATATGCTTAATTAAAACAAGATTCCATCATCAACATCTAATTACATTTTAATTAAAAGCTTCATGCACACTATTCAGACATTAAATTACCCTACAATGATTAGACACTGCTTATAAATCATGAACAGTTCTCATATAATGAAATGGAAGTGTCATGAATCATGATGTTACAAATATTTTTTACATCTACTTTACATATTTTAATTTTATGTACCTATCTACTATCTACACTTACATGGGTATAATGAAATTATATTAAATATGTTTTAAGTTAAGTTTATTATTGGTTTATTTGTCTGTTTAAACGTACACTACTCGAACACAACTGTATAGATCTTAATGAGACATTTTTATTGTACACATAATATTGCGAATTCCTCGTATACTGCTACAATGGTCAAGTGATTAGGATATACACTGGAATTCTGATTCAATCTTGAATCGAGAAATACAGTTAAAAAATCAAAAAAACTCCAAGTAGCATCCCAAAGTTGACAAGTTTTTACGCTTATCTCTATCTAGTTGTTGCGCTTATCTCACATCAGTCAGTTGTGTCGAAATGTCATCCTATCAGACTTTCAGAGCCAAAGAAAAAGAGTAGGTACCTTCTGCACAGTTTAGTCACAGTAAAATGAGATGCCGTGGCCGAAATCGGTAAAATTAAAAGTCAACATTAGATCGTAGAATATAAATAACATTTGTGTGTAGTAGGTACGTAGGTATAATGTATATATATATATATGTGCTTTGTACTTACCTAATTATTTGTTACCCATGAGTATTAACGCACACCCAAAAATTAATAAACATCCTGGAGAAAGGGAGGGCGGGGTCCTAGTTAGAATTGACTGCCCCGATGGTGTAGTGCCTAACATGTACGGCTGCACATCCGGAGGTCCTGAGTTGGAGCCCCAGGTCGGGCCTTGTTTAGATATTGAGCCTTTCTATCACGAAAATCCCAATAACTGCTCGAAGTTGAGAAGTCAGCGGATTTCAACCCCATACCTCGGAGAGCACTTAAAGCCGTCGGTCCTGTGCCTGATTTCGCACCGGTCGTATTTAATTATCGTCCCATCGGAGTTTAACAGTAATAGAGACTCAGAAAGTGCACGTTGTGTCTACGCGAACACTTGAGCATTATTATACCTTCTGTGCTGTTGGCTAGTCTCGGTGAAATGAACCTGCGTGGCCTAAATCAATCGGGAGGGCATCATCATCATCGTTTTAACGTGCCATACCGTGCTTTCGGTGTAAGTATATTATAATTTTAATTATCTTACATTTACCAGTTCTAGATGAAGAAATTCTATTGACAACAGTTATTTATATTAATTATGTTACCCTTATTCCAAATAATGACAGGGTTGAGTAAATTACAAAGAAAGGAAAGTTTGGGTTCTATAAGATTACCTTCTATAGTACGATCGAATTTACATCCGTCAGATAAGAGTAATCTCACCATTTATAATGATAATATATAAGACATTGCTCGGAACCGGTTTAAAAAATAATTCGGTAATGTATTAAAGGGCTCAATACAAAATCTTAAATGGCTAGAATAGGTGATGACATTTTCCATAAAAGTTTCTTACATTTGAAAATTTATTCCTGTTAATAAGAACGTTTTTGAAGTTAGAAAAGCGGAAATTGTTATTTAAGCTTTTGTATTATAAATATTTTAATTTTGTATATGTTCTGTGTTTGCTTCGGTGGGTACATACTTGCTTGGAGTGGACCTTGGAGCAACCCCATGGTTGTGGTGGTCTGCTTCGGCAGACCTGCCGTCGGGGCGTCGTAGTTGAAAACGTAAGCGATCCTGCGACGCCCCATTAAGACGGGGGAAGGCTTTGTTGGGTTTTAGTGAGTAGTACTCACTTTGCCGGTGAGTCCTACACCTCGTGCGTAAATGCACGCAATGTTCCCAACGTTAAAAAAAAAGGTCACTAGTTGTTATTATAAGGTTAATTAGCAATTCTGAAATAAATAAGATTTCATAGAATTCCAGAAATGTAATATTTTCAGATGCAATCGAATATTAATAGGTCATTAAAATCGTTACTGGTAACTGTTGTTTAATCTATAGTTAATTAAGTTGTTTTATATTTAGTTCAAGTGGAAGAAAACTTATGCATAGGTATTAAGCTCTGTTACCAATAAATATTAAAACTAAAAAGTGAAGTCTGTATATCACACTTGTCAAGTATTAGGAACAGAAACGAATGATATTCTTATATTGGTAAAAAAGAAAAATATTTTATATATAGTACTTTAGATTGGACACATTTTTTCGATTCTTTTGTTATTCCTTTGCCTGTCACTGTTGTCTGAAATATATAATGTAACAAGAAGTATGTATTATGAATAATAATAAGTTTAATTTCCACTTAAATTTCAACAACACTAGTTGCCCTATATAATAATTACACAGAAAGCCCATATAACAGTTAAAAAAAGTTTTTAATTTGTCTCTCTACCTGATTGTCTGTTTAAGCGAGCTAATATCCGACTCTTCTAAAACGATTTTAATAGAGCTCTTACTGATTGGAAGTGATTTGCGCAAGATTAACATATAATATGATACTTTTTGTACGAGATGTAAAATGGTTTCCGATAGCTTATAGGATCACAAACGTAAAAAGGCTTGTTAAATTGGTCAGTGAAGATATGTAAAATATACTTTTCTTAGCTAAGCTTAAAAACATTTAGAAAAATGCTTCTTTCTATTTGTATTGGACATTTCTAGTACATACTAGCGACAAAACAAAAACAAACCTATCCCACGGGAACCGTACATTTTTGCGGGATAAAAACTTTTATTATAGACTATAATCTATCTCTGTGCCAAATTTCATCTAGAACCGTTTAGCCGTTCTGGCGTAAAAGTGTAACAAAAATCCATACATACTCACAAACTTTCACATTTATAATATGAAATAATACGGATAGAAAAATACTAAATCAGACAACTTACAAGTCATTATGCAATTGGATGAATTTTCACAGATGCTTTGTGCTTACATACGGGATGCGAGACTTTGTCGGATAATTGTTCTACAATAGTCGCAAAAACAAATATCTGTTTTTAGAAATTGTTTACTGATAATAAATACAAAAAGAAATATTTCATAGGCACCCGAACCGGCTCTAACGATTTGGATCAAATTTTGTATTTAAATAAGGTTTTGCTTTTTAAGTTGATATATACAGGTGTCTTTTCTGAAAAATCTCTTTCAAAAAGACATTGTGATTAAAATACTAATCTTGTGTAAGTAGTATAATATTTAAGGTGTGAAGGTTGTCCGTATTTTTTTTTTAAATATATTGGGACATTAACACACAACACCATCTAGTTCCATGGTAAGCTACGAGGCTTACTATATTATGGATACCAAATAGTTGATACACTAGACATATATATCTTTAAATACATACATTTTATAAATATAAACACCCATGACTGGAGTACAAACATTCGTGCTCATCACACAAATGAATGCCCCCAGCGGGACTCGGACCCGCGACCGCTGGCACATAAAGTAGGGTCACTACAAACTAAGCCAAACGTGTTGTTTAGTAGTTGTATTGTCCAGTGCAAACATTCATCGGTGGTTTTTGCTAATTGAATATATCAAAACATAAAATATTTGAAATAGTCTATCTTTGCGGATTTTTTCGCGGATTTTTTTTATTTTTGGTTCTCGATGTTTCGAATGCTTTACACTGTTACAGCAATCATGAGCATTGAAGAGACTAAGATTTTAGATGTCTCAAATGTCAAAAAATATCATATGTATATTCGCGTAAATCTAAGAAAGTATCATATTACAATATCAGTATCATTTTAGCAAAAAAGCTATTAAGCAGAAAAGCAAGAATAGAATGAAGCAAAACTAACACTAATAATAACACTAACACTGATGAGTAAAACCTTATGCACAATTCTAAGAATATACCTATGTTTATAGTTAACATAATATATAACAATAGTGACAGAATATTTAAAATAAACTTTATTTACGTTTAGTTATATCTTTATCAGTGACGACGTGGGAGGTTTTATAAGATAATTCTACGCCCATTGTAGCGCGTCTCGCTTCGTATAAAAGGGGTAAGTTGACTTTCCGAAGTGTAGTCAACCGGCAACCAAAGGACGACTCAGATCGAAAATTTCAATTGACCATTTAAATATTCAATTATATTTTAGTGCCATTAGTTCCTGTTTTGACTAAAAGGTAAGGTAGAACGTAGTTTATTATATATTTTTATATTTGTGTTATTTTGTAATTCTACATTGCCTTGTATCCACTTATCGAGATAAACATTTTATGAAGTTCTAACCAGCAAAAATGAGGAATTGCCCTAACATTAGTTAGGAAAGAAATATTTAGTTTTAATAGGAATAACTACATTTTTTCTATATTTTATAATAATTTAGTTGTTTTAATTACCGAAATAAATAAACAAAATACAAACATATTTTATTTAAATGCAAAAAAAAATTCAAACAGTTTTGATGAACCCGTTAATTTATAAAGCTACTAAAAGCTTAAAGCTCTACTTTAAAATTTTATAATTTTAAAGTTTTAAGAAAATCTTTTTATTAAATACAATAATAATACTGACATACTCTAAATATTCAGATATTATATTGCAAAATATCAATATATTTTTTTGTCTGTCTGCCTGCACGCTTCATTTTAATAATTTTAACGGTTTGCGTAGAATAGAAGATACCGCTTGAATTCGCTATACGCTTCTATACTGTGTATTTTGTAACAAAAATAGATAATGTATGTAAGTAATTTACTCATTTAGCTGATTTCCCACGCCTTTTCAAAACTAGTTAGGTAATCTCAAACATGAAGGTTTCCTCACAATATTTTCCTTCAACATATGTAGATAGATAAACACAGAAAATAAGGAAAATTGTAAATTTTATTATATCTATATGTATATTAAAAATATACATTATTATATCCTGACATAGTAATTAATCAAAGGATCGCCTGAACTAAACCGATGAGTCTAGACCCTCTAATACTGATGTGGATGATAACTAAAAAATCTATTTTTTTATAAAACTCCTAAAGAAATGAAAAAGCATGGTTAACTTTATTCCATAAAAAATATGTTCTCAGGCACTCTATCACTATTTTACTAATTATCAAATTAAGAAGAGCACATAGATGTTGGGAAGTGGTGCAGGACAAAGTATAGAAGTTGGTAGTAGTAGTTGCTCTATTAGGATTACTTAAATAAAATTTTATACTTATTATATATATAATGTACAAATAAATATACAAATTATACAGGCAGTGATAGCCCAGTGGTAACGCGCTCGCTTGGGAAACCGAGTGAAGCGAGTTCAAATCCCGGGTCTCGCGCTTCTGATATTTTCCTGTGTGATTCATTTCCAACATGATTACCACTTGTCTTTCGGTAAAGGAAAACATCGTGAGGAAACCTGCATGTCAAATATAGTAAAAATAAAATAGTTTATGTAGGACTCGAAGAGCTTAAGAGTTATCTGAAGCTACTAAAATAGCACCTTTTGCAACGTTTTAATATTAAAATAATAGCTGATTCATAGTAAACTTATAAGATCAATAAAGCTAAGCTTAGTACTAAAGAATAAAGCCCCATTAAAGGTCTCAGTAAATTCCATGAATTACTTCCGCACGTAAACAGCAAAATAAAACATAGAATTGCATATATTCTTTGCTACTTGCTACATATATGTGTTTCTCAATTTTAAAAAATGCTAATAAAAAGGCCTCTATAGAAATAGATAGAGGTTATCTATTTTCCACTATCTATTTCTATTTAAAGCGTCAAAAATTATCTACAAGTCTCTTTGTAATTCATAGCGTTTTTAATTTTCATTTATCGACATGTAGCTAAATGGCAATTTTAATTATTGACAGTACAAATGTGCTGGTACACCAAGTTAGATCAGCCGTTTCATTAGAAGGAATCATACACACGAATTTATAATAGTAGTCTCAATTTATGCAAAAAACCACATAAATCCAATGCCCTATTGTTTTGTGAAAGAAAATAAACCGACAAAAATTTCATCATTTATAATATTAACCACTAAGTTTCTATTTATAACTAAAGCTACCTATTTC